GTTACTTTAAGTGTACTTTTTGCTACCGACAGCCAAACACATTCCTAAATTACAAACCTAATGTCTGAATTTGTTTTTGTCCACCAGAGGATCTGCCATTTACCATATAAACAACTAAAATACAAGACAAATAATCTTCCTCTATGGCCTGAAAATCAGATGCAGACAAAGATTTAAGTACAAAAATATTAATCACAGTAAATTATTATGTATTCAAAAAGTTATTTTCAATTATTATTTGAAATAGTGAAAAACTGAAGATACCTGAAGTGTTCAAGAATAAACGACTTTTAAAATTATGATCATATGATGATAAACATCCATTATAATCAACATTTTAGAAGAACTAAAGTTAAGTGAAAATAATAAGAATGTACAACAGCATAACTTTACTTATGAAAAGAATATTACACACACACACTCAGAGAAAATCCACCAAAATGTTAACATTAGTTATCTGTGGATTACGCAGTTGTGGGTGATTTTCTTCTCTATACTTTTATATATTCCCTAAATTTTCTACAGTGACAAATTAGGAAAAGTATTTTTAAAAACCCAGAAAATATATTGCAAACTTATGATTAGATCTGGGTCAGCTATGGTTGAGGAGTTGGTGCTTGTGGAAGGCAAGAGAGTAGTTCTATGTCCATATATGGGGAAAATGGCAACGATAGTGGTTCATTAAAGTCTTCATAACAGAAAGTGAGGGATATGACTATTAGAAAAAAGGTAATGCAATAAGAGAAGTTCAAGGTGCAGACAAAGGAGGTCTTGGTCACATTTTTATACTTGGTATTTGTGAGTTCACACTGAGAGTATGTATGGCTTTCGATTTTGAGCAGCACAGCTCATGAGGAACCAACTGGAACATGATCAGAGGAGAATGACCAGAGCAATGAAGGTCTGTAAAACATCTCACAGGATGATGTTGGGGAAACTGGGAGTATAAAAGAGAAAACAGAGGACATGGTAGCTAGCTTTAAAAATTCACAGGTTTGTTTTTAGCTTTTTTGTTTGGAGACACCGCCTGCTACTGCTCCTATGGGGGCAAATAATCAGGCAGTTTCCAGGCACATTTGCTTACCCATGTTTTTCCTCTTTTGCATTGAGGGAGCTGATACTTGCTTCACATCCCTCTCAGGGATACTGGAAGGATCAAAGGTGATCAAAATAAAATTAACGATAATGAGCAGCAGCCATCTATTCAACATCCAGTAGATTCTAGGGCCATGGGCACAGTATGTATACCCCCAGTGCAGATGACAAAACTGACATTCAAAGAGTTGAAGCCACGTCTGTAGGAAGTGTCAGATCTGGGATGTGAACCCATGTTTTTCTGATTCCAAAGTCCATTTTCTTCCCACCATACCCTACCACAACTCAAAAGACAGTGACAAATGTGACCATTTTGTAAGCCCTAAAGTATCATAAAACAAAATATTATTTTAAATGTGTCTTTAGAACTCAGTGTGCAATTTTTAAAGTAAATTTAAAAAATCCGGGTCAAAGGCAAGTTATTAGTAATAAATGGAAAAGTTTTAAAAACTCACAGGATTGACACACAGAAAAGGAATTAGGTATATGTTGTGTAGCTTCATTGAGCTGAACTTGAACCCATGGGAAGAAATTGTAGGGGGAGTCATCTCAGCTCAGTGTAGGGCAAAATAATTGGATCTACCCCTGATGAAGCTGGCTGACCCATGGAGGTGGGGGAATGGTGTGGGGAGTGCCATGTCGCTGCTTTCCAGGGTAGGCTGGGTGATCAGCTGCTGGCGATATTCAGGAGGAATTCCCACACTGAGTGGGGCTGAGGCTAGAAGGCTGCCGAGGCCCCTTTAATGAAGGTTCTATCTTGTGGAGTCCTTTATCTTTATCGTAGAGTCTTAATCACAGATCAGAGAGTTCCCTCACATCAGGCAAATAATGGACATGTGAGCCTTATGCACTTTAAAATATGGCTTCTCCAAAATCTTTAAATATGCTCTATCATGTAAGCATGATCCTTTGGAACTAGTAGGACAAAAACAGTCTAAATTCCTTTGGCAGAGAAGAAATAGAACTTAGGTTCTGGGCGTGAACCAATCTAGGAACTAGAGACTGAAGTGGTTGTACCTTCAAACAATGTGTGACAAACCCTCTTGCTGTCTGGAGCATGTTGGTACCCACC